GGTTTGTTTAAAAGTGCTGCAAAATTATTTGCTTTTTGGCTAAAAATGGACGTGTTGGTTCTATGGGACGATAATACAACAAATGTAGTGCCATCAAAAGATTTAAAAACGATTATAACGAATATTCCGTTTAAAATTGGTTGTCAAGTGCTTATGAAACGAGCAAACAAGTGGTATTATGGAACGGTTTTGGACATGGAGAAGATAGCCTCCTACAGTGACTCTTCCTCAGATGATATTGTTTTAAGTAAAATTGCAGTGAAAATTAAAAATAGTAAGCAAGGAGTTCGGGGTCTAAAACAAAATGTTCTTGAAGATATTGTAAAACAGAATGAAGATGACCAAACCATAAATAATGTAAGTAGGCTCTAAGTTGTATTAATCTGTACAAAAAAAATATAATAAAGCAGTAAAAGCACCTGTAGCAAATTCTAGTTTCTAATTATTATTATCGATTTTAGGAATCTATTAATAAAAAATGACAAAATGCTAAATATGAAAAAGGGCAAAAATAACTACAAGGAGACTTTTGGCGTAAAAAGAAACAAAAAGTGACCACATAGAAACATAACTAAATTTTACTATTTTGGCGTAACAAACAATTTTTTTAAAAAACTTTTTCACGTAGAGGCGTAGCTGTCTAAAATTTTTTTTTTCATCAAAATGGAAAATGATTACACTCTCTTAGTAGTGCCTATGGAAAGCATAACTATTGAGCAATTAAAAAAATAATTATTGGCACCAATGTTATAAATTTTGCTGGACAGCTAATTAAAATGGTACCATTTTCCTTTTTTGGCTCCCCTGAAAAATGTATACTTAAAATGTCAGTTACGCCACTACATGCGGAGACCGACGATATCTTCATTTGTTTGAACTCTAATAAATGTAATACAAAAAGAATGGTAAAATATACAGATTGATAAATTTAAATCATGCAGCCTATTTAACAACAACCATCACCCTATTTCAGAAGTATTACACGGCTCCACCACCATATTACAATCTACACTTTAACCTTCCCCATCAATAATTATTTCTGGTTCGGGTCTCGGCTCAGTCATTTCTTCGCCCCTATCATACCAAAATATTTTACAATATTGTTTATACAAAATACACAATATTTTACAAAAAAACATATTTCAATTTTATTATTATTAAACTTGAAAAACTTATTTAAACAGATGCATTCAAAATTTTAAAAACTTACGTGTCTTTGGTCACCATCTCTTCAATGAGTTGAGCTCCTTGCCTTTTTTCTATGGCGATTTTTCTTCGATTTAAAGATGTTGATGTTGTCGGTGTAAATAATGAAACTCTTTGGGATTAGGGTAAATTTTGTGTAGGTTAGTAGATCAAAATTGCATCATCTTTGAGTCCACGATAATTTTTAGGGAAATAATTCGAAAGGATATGTTTGAAATTAACCTTATAGCCACTTTCACAGAAATGCTTTGAACAAATCACAGCGTTTTTTAAATTAACGTTGTCTTTCCTTTTGGTTAAATGTAACCAATTCTTGCTGAGGTTGGCATCTTTAGGGAAACTAAAAAAATTAACGTCTTTGCACGGATTCCGTTTAGACTGATTGTCGGAATTACATCCCACAACTGCACACCGCATTTTAATCGCTTAATATTTAAAAAAAAATTGTTTGTTAATATTTAAATATAGTCTATTAAAAATCTATAAAAATAATTTAAAAGATCGAACAAACAGCAAAAAATACACCGCTAAGCCGAAAATCTGAACAACTCTGAGTGACGTAAACGTCAAATTAAGGACCGCCCACTTCCTGCGCAACATCCTATCTTTAGTTGCGTATATCGTGACTTTGACTGATGCGCGCTTTGTTTTGGGGATTGGGAGTCACAGACTAGTACAACGATAAACCAATATTTATTGTGCTTAGTAGTTAGTAGTGGCATAATTTTTTTCAATTTTTGGGTAGCCTGTTCTGCCTGTTCGAGTAACTGGTGATTTGTTACAGTGCTAAAAGGATAAGTACGTATTATTTTTTATTGATTATGGTTAAGTATACAGGGTGTTTCAAAAAACATGTGCCATCTCTCGTGGAGAGATTCCTCACGTAAAAATAAGATTGATTTTTCATATCAACATAGGTCCGATTCTACTTTTTTTTGTAGCTACAGGGTGTTTGGTTTGGTTAAAGTCTTAATGATCTTTCGATTTATTATAATTTTTTTCCAAGTACTTTTAGTGATTCCATATGGGTTATCACGAAAATATTTTTCAGAAAAAAACATGTGCGCTACTGACTTTTTTGTTTTGATATCAAAATTTCGTAGACCGTTTAATGCCAATTAAAAGTTATCTCTTGATATTTTGTCAAATTCGGTCTCCTTGTCAAATTCGGTCTCCAAACCAAACGCAATTTTATTAATCGCAATTAATAAAATTAAAATAAAAATAAAATTAATAAATTATATATTTTAATTATTATTAAATATTATTACTATTAGTCCAACCTACAGCAATTTGAAATAAAATGAAATGGTATATTTAAGATAATTAAAAAAAACTAATTTAAAAAGTTTTAACTTTTTGTATCTCTAAAACTATGCATTTCCATACCCATGTTTAAAGGAATTTTTTTTCATATTTTGTAATGAGGAATCAACAAGTAGTTATTTAAAACTTTCGCAAGTTACTGATATTAATTTTTTTTAAAGGTTGTTATTAGACTTGGATCAAGGCAAATTAATAAAATTGCGTTTATCTCATCAAGGAGGTCGAAATCGACAAAATATCAAGAGACAACTTTTAATCGGCATTAAATTGTTTACACTATTTTGCTAAAATTAGAAAAAAAGGTCAGTGGCGTATATGTTTTTTTAGAAAAATATTCCAGTGATAACCCATATGCACGTCCCTGGTGAATATGTCGACACTTTTTTAGCTTTAAAATGTGTCGCATTTATAGTAACTTTTACCCTCAAAATTTCATTCGAATCGCTAAAAGTACTTGGAAGAAAATTATAATAAATCGAAAGATTATTAAGACTTAAACACCTTGCAGCTACGAAACAAAGCAGAATCGGACCTATGATAATATGAAAAGTAAATCTTATTTTTACGCACGGCCGTATCTGGGGGGGGTTTGGGGGTTCAACCCCCCCCCCCCCAAATTATGGCCGAAAATTTTTAAAAAGTAATGATCATTAAGTAAGTAAGAACGAAAGAAAAAAAGAAGAAGAAGAAGATAAAGTCAACGAAGAAGAAGATAAAGTCAAACTTCAATAAAAGTTTCAAATAAAGTAAAGCAAGCTTATATATATTCTCCGGCGCATTCGCCAAATTTTTTTAAATTAGTTTGTCCTGTTGTCACAGCAGCGCTAGTGAATGCGATTCCAATTTTTACTATGCAATCTGCATCTCTCTTTTTATTACTTTCTCTATGCCCTAACTTCACTTTTCCACTTTGACAGCAAATGTCATTTTCGACTTTCAACTTTCAAGTGTTTAAAACAGCAAAAGTTTGACAAGGTCAAAATTTTGAATGTTGTGTGTTTTGCTGGTCATTAACGCGACTAACGTTTGTTATTGTTCTGCTATTCATAGAAGGTGAGTGAATTGGTATTTTGTTTTATGGTTTTTGCCGTTTGTGAGGTAATATGTACATTCTTGATAGTATGGGTATAGTTTCAGGTAGTTTTAGGCTTCGTCCTACGTGGGCGACAAAAGCGAACGAGCGACGCGTGCGACAACAGAGGGCGATGAGCGCGACTAGCGCGACATATTTAAATTGCCTGCGATGCCGCTTCAGTCGCGCGACTCTCCTACCTAGGTCAGCTTCGTAAAGCCGCGTACACACCTAGCGAACGCATAGGTCGACCAAATCCGCACACATGCCGTGATTTTGTTTGAAGTATTTTTTCGCTGTTCGCTGTTACGTACACACCTAGTGAACGCATCATACATCTGTTTGCGTGCGGTAGTATTCCCTTTGAAGTACCGCCAAGTCAGCGAACGTAACCGCACGCGAATGTATGCGTTCGTTGCTACGTATACATTTCCCGAATTCGTTCGTTCTAAGCGATGCGGCCGTATGCGTTCGCGGCTTAAGAAAACGTTATTTGATAAATACGCGTCGCTCTCACCGCCCAAATCGCGCGCTTTGGTCTCGCACGTAGGACGAAGCGTTAGTTTAACTATAGTTCTAATCTACTGTCTTTGTTTCTCTCGTGTAACCTAACGAGTACATTATCGGCAGATGATGTCGATGTTCGATGTCGATATTCAGTTTAATATGAATTTTTACTTTATACGTTTTTACTTAAATTTCTCATTATACCAATTCAGCAGCAGCCGCCACTGTACAATGATGCAAAGCCAAATATTTTATATTTTCCTAATAGCGCACTTTTATTGCTTGTAGAATTTAAAATGGCAAAACGTAATGTCCAGAGTTCACTGACGGATTTTTTTTGTAAAAAAAGCAAAATTTCTTCTGAATCTACCGAAGAAGCTGCTAGTTCTAGCCAAGCAATTTGTACAGATACTCCCGCTTTAGAAGTTGCACCAAATTCTATTCAGACTCTGATAGAAGTAAATACAAGGAATCAAACCAAATTTGATAATTCAGATATCGGCTGCTGTTTTACTGAAAAACTAGATAACGGAGTAAAATTTAGACTTTTGACCTCTCCGTGGGTTCCAGATGAAAAATATAATTTTCCTGTTTCAAAGAAAAGGAACCTAAAATTTCAAATAGGTTGGCTAAAACGTTTTCCGTGGCTTAGTTACACTGCTCATGGTGATCAAGGTGCAGTGTGTAAGTACTGCGCAATATTTGCGTCTGAATTTAGTGGCAAAGGTAGTCACCAAAAGTTGTTTGCCTTGGTTGTAAAACCCTTCAATAACTGGAAGGACGCCATAGAGACATTCGTGCATCATAGTAATACTGACTATCATAAGAAGAGTACCGTCTTCGCTGATAATTTTGTAGCCACTTTAACAGATCGGCCCCAGATATTGTGATGCAACTTGACTCTAGTCGTGCAAAACAAATAGCGGACAATAGAAAAAAATTAAAACCTATAATCAAGACTATTATACTCTGTGGATGCCAAGAGTTGGCTCTACGTGGAACTAACGATTCTGGTCCATTGACTTTAAATTCCATAGAGCCTGTTTATAATGATGGGAATTTCCGGGCATTACTGCGTATGCGCCTATCATGTGGGGATAAAGATTTGATTGAGCACATTGAAGGTCAATCTTTAAATGCCATGTATATAAGTCCAATCATTCAAAATAATATAATTCAAATTTGCGGAAAAATGATACAAGAACAAATTGTTTCCAGAATAAATAAATCCAAATATTTTTCAATTTTGATGGATGAGACTACGGATATTTCCCGGATCGAGCAGTTATCCCTTTGTGTGAGGTACATTGACTCCAATGAGCAGAACGGCAATCCAGTCTATATTATGCGTGAAGATTTTCTACAATTTGTGCAAGTTCATAGTACAACTGGGAATGATTTAGCGACGGTAATGTTAGAGTGTTTAGAAGAACTCAAGATAGATTGTACTTATTTGGTTGGGCAAGGTTATGATGGGGCTGCAGCCATGAGCGGCAGCTTTAAAGGCGTACAAGCAATAATAAGAGAAAAACACCCAGCAGCATTATACGTGCATTGTAGTGCACATTCTCTAAATTTAGCTCTGGCTCACTGCTGCAATGTCCAAAGCGTCAGAAATTGTATTGGAACCATCAAATCCGTTGCAATCTTCATAAAAATGTCAGCAAAGCGGACTGATATTCTACAAAATAAAATTAAAGAACATGCCCCTGATAATAAATGGAAGAAGTTGACAACCATGTGTGAAACTCGATGGGTGGAAAATCACGACGGATTAATTAGGTTCACAGAAATTTTCAAGCCTATTGTTGAAACACTGGAAGAACTACAAGTAGTGAAAGATATAGAGACGTCCTCAAAGGCTACACAGTTACATCATGCCATTATGACCAGTGACTTTATTATCAGCATGTTAACCGCAACTACTTTATTCGCGTATACCCTACCTTTATGCAGAATTCTTCAGACAGTTAACATCGATCTCTTTTCAGCAACGGAACATGTTGATACTGTTTTAAGTTAACTTAAAAGTATGAGAGATAACATAGATCAAGTGTTCAGCAACATTTTTGAAAAAGCCGAAAAACTATTAAAATCAATAGATGCACAAGAGCATATTCAAATTCCGAGAATAGTTGCACATCAGAAAAATCGTTCTAACATTATGGTAGCGAGCCCAGAGGAATATTTTCGAATTACAGTTGCAATTCCTTTTTTGGACGATTTCATACATCAGTTGACTGAACGATTTGCGAAGCACAAAAAATCATTGTCCTCTCTACATTGCTTATTACCAAATGTATGTGTTGTACACAAAGTGGACCTAGAGGACCTTTCCCTATACAAACAATTTTTGGACTATGACACTTTAGCGGCAGAACTAGATTTGTGGCGGCAGAAATGGAAGCAGCTAATTGCAGTCGACCGACCTAAAAACGCCATCGAAACGATATCGGAGTGTAACCAGTGTATATATCCAAATATATACATTTTATTGAAGATCCTAGCAACTCTACCAGTGTCAACAGCTACACCAGAAAGGTCCTTTTCAACCCTAAGACGATTGAAGGACTTCCTACGTAACTCTACAGGTCAGGAGCGATTGACAGGACTTGCTCTATTAAGCGTACATAGAGAAATAAATGTTGATATAGAAGAGGTAGTCAATCGTTTTTCCAGGGAAAAGACTAGAAACGTGCAGTTTATCCTTTAAAATTCATGATTTTTACCTGTTACTTTTTTAAAATTTTATTTTCAATTAAAATTTGAGTGTAGCCCAAAGCGATTTTTTTATTATGCTTTTTTCCTAGTAGCTTTTGAACCCCCCCCGAAATTTTGGTCTAGATACGGCCCTGTTTTTACGTGAGGAATCTCTCCACGAGAGATGGCACATGTTTTTTGAGACACCCTGTATAAATAGTCTATACCTATTATTTTGTCGGTCTTGCTATAATTAATGATTTTAATTTAATAGGTTTGTGATAAAAAAACAATGAAACAGAGCCAGAGCGCAGAATTTCTCAGCCTCCTACCTCGACAAAAAAAAACAGGAATATTTTATGAAGTAATATCTCTATCCAGTGTTACCAACTCCGGGATTTTATCCCTAAATTTGGGGAGAAAAAATCTATATGGGGATTTTTTTAGGGAGTAAAATTTTTTGGGGATATTTTTAGGGATAAAATTTCAATGGAATACCGCTACCAAAGAGGAGATAAAACCGCTACTGCTATTTTTCAAAATTAATAGGAAAGTATAAATAAAACAAAATAATTTATTTATTTTAATCACCGAATCTTGGATAACAGTTGTGGGGATGTTAGTTGATTTAAAAAGGTTTGATATTGCTTTAATGGAAAGTTTCGAACAGTTGGCTACATTGCTGTGATCAGACGTTTCAAGGTCAACCACTTAAAACACAACAAATTGTTTATTTATTATTATTTATATTTTTAGGGTTTTTTTCGAGATATTTTTTAGGTTTTTAGGGATATTTTGGGGATTTTTGATGCGAGCGTTTTAGATTTTTAGGGAGATAAATTTTTGAGAGTTGGGAACACTGTCTCTATCTAAGGGTACACCGAAACCTGAATCCACTGCAGCGTCTTGCAGTTGGGAATGTAGGGATAAATCTCCACAGGTAAATGTAAAATATTCTTTTTTGTTAATAAGTTCCAAGGTATTCCAAAAACAGTTTATGCTATGAAAGTTTTATTCTAGAAAGTTGAAATACACATATTTGTAGCATTTTCTTTAATGTTTTTGTAGAAAACCAAAAAGAACTATGAACACAAATTTAAACAAGAATGGATCACACAGTTTCCATGGGTCAAATTATTTAATAGTGGAGAGGAAATATGCCGTGTATGTAACCACACGATTGAGGGTAGCTCATTTGTCAAGGCATGAGAAAAAATAAATTCATATAAAAAATGCCAAAAGGTTTCAAATGCAGGAAATATTGAATGACGGCTTAAGGAATCTTCAGAAAGGAGCAGATTGACTGTACCAGCTAGGGAAGCTGAGTACAAGTTAAGTATGGTTTTAATAGCTGAGCATAATGCAGTCCAATAAATATAAATAATAGCAGTCCAATGTTAATAATCGATCATGTTCCTAAACTTTTAGTCTCATGTATCCCAGACTCCCAAATAGTAAAAAATATAACATGTGCTAGAACTAAAACTACACACATAATAAAACTTCTGCAAATTGAGGGAGAAAATGAACTTGTGGAACAATTAAAATGCAAAAAATTTTCCATTATTATAGATGAAACAACAGACATCTCCATAAAAAAGTGTTTAGCTGTTTTGTGCCGCTTTGTGAATATGAACCAAACTTCTTAAGACTTACTGATTGCGCTTCTAGAAGTGGAAAACTGTAGTGCAGAAAGCTCTTTCAAATTGCTCACAATGTTATTGGTTTCGGTGCAGATAACGCTTCTGTTATGATGGGGCACTTGGGTGACATGCAAGCTAAGCTAAAAGAAAAGGTTAATCCAGATATTTTTGTTATTGCATGTATATGCCGTTCACTGCATTTGTGTGCATCAGATGCCTCAAAAAAATACCACTTTAGAATTTATTCAAGATATATATAATTACATATTGAGAAGTACAAAAAGACTTGCAGTGTATACAGAATTCCAAGGGTTTGTTGACTTGAAACCCCACAAACTCTTACGTCTCATTCAAACAAGACGGCTTTCATTAGGTAAAATCATAATTAAAGTATTTAAGTCGTATTTAAATAATGTTTTTTGTTGTTTAATTTTTAGATTGTAGTCAACCGAGTTTTGGAACAATGGCAAGCTGTAAAGTTATATTTCATTAGTGAGGTGGTAGAAGAAAAGGAATTCGAAAGGCCAAGGCAAATTTTATATAAATTTAACACACCTGAAATTTAATTATATCTTACGTTTTTGTCGTACATTTTATCCTTAGTAAACAAGCTTAACATATAATTTCAATCTGAGACCCCAAATTCATTTATTATATGAAAGAATTTATTCTCTATTTAAAACTATCCTAAAAACTACTTATAAAAATTAATATGCCAATTCTGTTAATATTTTTGTGATAAATCCCCAAAATGTGTACTTGGAAAAAAGTACCTGCCAAATAATGATATTTATTTAGGTCAAAAAACTCTATATTACTAAAGAAGTATGTCTAATGAAAATCTGACTAATTTTTATAACAATTATATTTACTTACTATTATGTAGAGATGTGCTTACAAATTAAAAGTAGGTTCAAAAATTCCCCACAATTTGAAAATTTACAATTATTAGATTCAAGCTTTTTGCTAGTAAAACCTACTTCCCTTTCTCCATTATATGAGCAGTTTCCACATTTAATACCAGACGGCAAATTGGAGGAAACTGCCAACGAGGCAAGGGAAGTATGTAATTTACCAGAAAGAGTGAAAATCAAATTAAAAGAATTAGAATTTACAATTTTTTTTTGAACTAAACACTTTTAAGAACGCTGCCAAAGAAAAAAAAATTAGGAACTGAAAATTTTAGTTTGCGCATGTGCAGAAAGAGTTTTTTCGGCGTCAGCGATGGCTATGAAATGACAATCGATGATATTTCCCATATAAGTTTACATATAAAATGACAGCGATCTTCATTTCATAGCCATCGCTGACGCCGTTTTTATTCGATCATACGATATTAAGAGATTTTACTAATATTTTGCTGTTAGGTACTGTGAGGTCACGTAAAAGGAAAATAAATGCACAAAGGCAAGGTATGGAGTACTTAGAAGCATACGACAAACAACAGTATACATACTACAGACATACTGGTATTAAAATTTTGTTGGGCTTCATTGATCCCTCTTCCTGGATATGGACATAGAAGTAGCTCTCTGATACCATATGCTTGGTCGCCAAAAATAACAAAATGCATTTCATCTAGAAACTTTGTGTTTGCTTCTAACTGTTCATAAAGGCCAGATTCCCTGAATATACCAGCCATCATGACGTCTGCCAGGAAATACACCAGTAAGACTTGCAGTAATACCATCGGGACAAACCACAGACTGGTATTTTATACAATGTAATCGCTTATGTCCAGAGTAATATTCTTCTTGATCCTCTGTGGATCGACAAACAGCTCGAGCGGTGCCATCAATGAACCCCCAACAGTTCTGAACAGCAGCCCCTTTTGCAGTTATACTCTGCAATATAGAGAAAATTATTAAAAAAACAAACAATCACTATTTTTTAAGTATAGCTTGTCTAATACTTGAAAAAGTTAAAAAAAGTTACTAACATCTGCATACATTTGAAGGCGATTTTGATTTAACCAGTTTAATCTTCCAATAGGTGTCTGTGATTTTCAAAAACAAAATTGTTAATAAATTTTTGCAGCTCCGTCTAGAAAGACCCTTACCGCTCTCTTACATAAGATCCCTTTTTATACAGGAATAAATCCAGCTATCATGGAATCACTCAAGACCAAAGTTTCCAAAATGAACGAAAATGAGAGACTGTGTAGCATTATATTTGATGAAATGTCACTTGATTGTACACTACAGTTGAATAAGGGTCTGGATATTATTGAAGGATTTCAGGATAATGGAGGGTCAGAGAGAAAGCCAGTTATTGGGGATAGAGTAATGGTGTTTATGGCTAGGGGATTGTGTCGCAAATGGAAATAGCCCTTAGCCTATTTTTTTAATGAAGGTGGCATGAAGACTGACACATTGGTCAGATCTATTAAAGAGGTCGTATTAGCATGCCAGAGCACAGGGCTCAGAGTTAAAACGCTGATATGCGATCAAGGCACATCTAATGTTGCTGCGTTCAAAAAATTATATGAAGACACCAACGCCATTTTCCTAAGACAAGGCATAGAAAATAAATTGTTTGGCATCTTGATTAATGACCAAGAAATAGTGCCACTGTTTGACCCTCCACACCTTCTTAAAGGCATTCGGAATAATTTCTTCAAATATGATATTCAATTTAAATGGAGAAGACCAGAACACATCGTTAAATTGTTCGAAGTTGAAGAAACTGAAGAGTATGATTACAAATTATGCAAAAATTTAACGATACAGCATATTAAAAACACGAGAAAAATGAAAGTTTCTGTGGCTGCACAAATTTTTAGCAGTAATGTTGCCCGCGTTCTTAAGGTGGGATTCGACCAAGCGCGCAAAATGTTTGAGATTGTTAGCGAACATTTTTAGTCTCAAAATTTGCTTGGTGGAGACGGTGTTCACGCACATTTGCAATCATTTGTTTGTGTTCCGGTCGACGTCGGTGCATCAAAGTTATTCGCTGTTTGTGCGCATTTAGTGGAAACGCTTTCACAGCATACGGTTCGAGTTTTTGATCAATTCTGTTTCCGTTTACAAGTGAACGTATTTTATTTAAAGGCAATAATAATAATGGAGCGGGACAATGAAAAATGTTTACAGTTAATAGAGTTCTACAAGTTGAAGCCAGAAATATGGCATCTACACACAAATTTCATTACAACAAAAATAAAAAGCAAGATGCCTGGAATGAAATCGCCAAGTATATTGGGACTCCTATTGATATAGTAAAGTTAAAAATTAATTCTTTGCTCTCCTCATTCAGGAGGGAAGGGAAAGAGCTAAAGAAAGAAAATGGGTTAGTATCTACTAACCTTTTCCGGTCCCAATCGATTTTCCTTCTTTAGCTCTTTCCTATTTTTGCAAATTATTCTGTTGATGTATCTTTGATAAGACGGACCATGGGATTATGGCAGAAAAAATGTCACAAATGGGATTTGATAATAAATTAATAAAGTTCTTTTCCTCATATGTGCGCAATGTACGCAAGCAATATGTTGAATATAATGGTCACAGATCGTGTCCCTTTATAGTCACTAGCGGTGCACCGCAGGGCAGCTGTTTGGCACCACTGATATTTTCAATATACATAAACGATATAGTGACCCAATTAAAGAGATGTTCGCTTTTATTTGCAGATGATCTGAAGATTTTTAGTGTCGTCCGGTGTAAGGATGACTGCATACGTCTGCAGACCGATCTTGATATTATCTCTAATTGGTGCGTGGAAAATTGGCTTGCTTTAAACACCTCTAAATGTAAAAAAAATCCTAGAACGATTTATGTCCAATATGCGTAGAGACTGGAAGGACAGATGAACTGTGGTGGCGGTGCAGATCATGTGGTACTTGGCTTCATGCTGCCTGTACTGCGGTATCTCAGCCAGAAGACTTGGATTCGTGTATAGAATGTGAATAGACATTGATCGATATTATCCTCCTATGATCGACATTTCCCTTCTACATGATCGATATTAACCGACCATAGGTGGATAATATCGATCAAGTTATAGTTTGTATTTTATATTTTTCACATTTGCCTAATCGAAATACAGAGGATTTGTTTATGTTATTATGTTGTAAAATGAATAAAGTTTAAGTTCCATACAGAAAATCATACTATTTTTTGAAATTATTGCTTTTGTCTTCAAATATCTGTTAAGTGATCGATATTCGATCCCTTTCCCCTACCTTATTTATTTAATCATTAATTTTATGTTATTATATACTGTTATAATATAGATTTAAAGAGTATTTATGATTGTATTTATAGGCATTTATATGAATATTTTTTCCTTTTTAATTACTAAGTTTATTTTTGTATAATGTTAATATTTAATATGACTATAAACTTTTTTTCAATTAGTATGTGTTATTAACTTCCATATTTAAACAGTTTAGTTCAATTGTTAAAGGATATTTCGGATATATTTCTAAATATACTCGAAATTTCTTTAACAATTGATCTAAACTAAAATAATAAATAATTAAAATTCCCTATTCCCTTTCCCCTCCGCTCCCCTTTAGTTTCACTACAATCGCCAGAGGCGCTGTTCATTGCACCGGGCATGTAATGGGAGTTGCCGGGCTATTAGTATATCTCTTGTCTATGTTTATCAGTGTTATTTTGAAGATCGTGCGACGTGTAAAGGTAAGTTCATATAGCAACGAATCACGAATTGTTGTTTTTGCAAAGTCGTAAAAATTGAAATCATCATTGTTCATACGAAAACGAAATTCGTTGGCGTTTCTAGGGATTTCCAATTTTTCACTAGGCAGTGTTCCAGTGTTGCCTTGCGTTTGAGGTTAGAAAAGGAGAAGGGTTCTATTTATATTCTGTGTTTATATTTTTTTTGCTTTATTGAATTTTGCTTGCATTTTTTGCAAAATAAATAAAATTTAAATTTTTAACATGAACGAGAACGTACTTTATTGGCGATATAGACGCAGACGTGTAATAGCAGTTTACTTGTTGCTTAAGAAGATGCGACAAAAAAATAATAGATCTGTTGGTGTCTGCGAAATCTTTAAGCAATGACGGTCGCAAGGAGCATTTCATAATTTGGTGCAAGAAATGAGGGTAAATGATGAGAAGAAATTTAGGAACTACCATAGAATGTCCGTCCAAGAATTCGATTTCCTTGTGGACAAGATTTCTCCATATACAACAAAAACTTACCATACCCGAGAGCCAATTTCTCCACCAGAGATGTTATCTGTTACTCTTAGGTGATACTACTTTAGCACTAATCTCCTAAATATTATTTGTTGGTACAGTACCACCACACCTTCTTTCTATCATCATATTTTATTTTTAGATATTTGGCTGCTGGCTCTAGCATGAAGAGCTTATCTTATAATTATAGATTGGGATTAAGCACTGTATCAAATATAATCAAAAGTACATGTTCAGCTCTTTGGATATCTTTTAACAAAGAATATTTACCAATTCCCGACAAGGAAAAATGGCTCAAGATAGCAACAGATTTTGAGATGAAGTGGAATTTTCCCAACTGTTTGGGGGCAATTGATGGGAAACATGTCAGAATACAAGTAATTATAGTTTATATTATTTATCATTTAAATTGTACCTATATACTTTATTGCTGTTTATTTTTTTTATAGGCACCTCCAAACACTGGATCGGATTATTATAACTACAAGGACTTCTTCAGCCTCATATTGTTGGCAATTTGCGATGCCAATTATTGTTTTACAGTCATAGATATAGGTGCAAAAGGTAGGCAAAGCGATGGAGGGGTTTTCCGAAACAACAACTTTGGAAAACAACTTTTTTCCAATTCACTTGACTTGCCTCCTCCAAGAAGACTTACAAATGATGTACAACCAATTCCCTATTATATAATAGGGGATGCAGCATTTCCATTTGGAACCAATTTAATGCGGCCATATCCAGGGAACTTCCTCCCACAAGAAAAAAGGATATTTAATTACAGGTATTATTAAGTTTTAAAAAATTGTGTAGAAGCTAACATCTACATTATACTAATGTACTTAATAATTTAGGTTAAGCCGAGCAAGAAGGGTGATTGAAAATACATTCGGAATCCTCGTTTCAAAGTGGAGGATTTTGGAAAGGCCCATAATAGCAAAATTAGAAACAATTGCAAAAATGATTGCAGCACTTGTCTGTTTGCATAACTTTTTAAAAAAAAGTGATGCAGGAAAATCTGAGAATAACAAATACTGTCCTTCAAGTTATGTAGATCAGGAGAATGAAGCTGGTGAAGTTATAGAAGGGGAATGGAGGACTGTTGTAGGAACCGCATTAAGCCGAACAGAGAGATTCGGGGGAAATTCATATAGTCAAAGAGCAGCTAGTATTCGCTCCTTACTTACAGATTATTTTGTGAATATTGCACCCATACCTCCTCAATGGACTAAATAAGTGTATTTAAAATATTTTACATGCATATTTATCTTATTAACTTTGTTTTGCAGTTGTATTTTTAATACTTATTTTGTGCTAATAAACGCCACTTAAAAATAGGTAGTATTTATTCAGTTTCAACAAACTCTGCATATTCAGAATACACTTTGTTAATAAATTGCAATTCTAGTTTCATCCGCCTTCCTGCAGGCAATTTCTCCAATACAGATTGAACTGTCATCAGGGCTGGGGAGAGTTGTGGTTGAGGGGGAAAGGTTGGAAGAGGTTCCTTCACAATATTTAGCAACATATCTTCTGTGTCTGCTAAAAATAAAGCATATTAAAATACATAAATTTGGATATAATTATTGGATATTATTGTTCCTCTCTTTGACCTGTAAGTACCGTATGATCGAATAAAAACGGCGTCAGCGATGGCTATGAAATGAAGATCGCTGTCATTTTATATGTAAGTTTATATGGAAAATGTCATCGATCGTCATTTCCAAGCCAACTGGACGCCGTTTTTATTCGATCATACGGTATTTAAAAATATTCTTTATGGGTATTTCGCCACTGCACTGCAAGAAAATCTACAAAATAAAATAGTTATTTTTTGTAAACACTGCTGCGTTAAACCTAAACGGACGCTGCTTGTCAGAAATTATGTTTACAGTAATACAAATTTGTGAAATACCCATAAAGAATTTTTTTGGAGAGACGAATCCGCCACATAGGTATATACATTTTTTATTTAAAAATAGTCATGCCATGCATATTATGATTGCTTAATCATGAGTTTAGCATAACTTACTTTCTCTGGCATTTCTTTTTTTGCGCTTGGATGCAGGTGATGACAGGTACAGGTCATTATCACTGGATGATACACTTCTTGACGGAATAAAGTCCTTTGTTTTATTATTATCTGTAGTTCCTACTTCAATAGTATTCGCACAGATATTCGATGTTGTAATTTTCGGCATATTTTTTCCAGCCAGGAAAAGAAAATTGTCGAAATATTTCCATTGCTTTTTCTCATTTGTTCCCGAGCCTGAAGGGGTGTAAGTTCTGCAATAGTTAAATTAAGACATTAATTATGTGTCGCAATTACCTAACTGATAAAATCGTTAAAAGGCACAGTCGTGGCCAAAAAAAGTTTCCAAGATTTGTACATACATACTTCAAATGTTTTAAGAAAGTGTCTCGTAAGTAAATTTTTTAATTAGGTTTTCTAGAGTTAATTTTCCTCCCAATTCATTATAAACCTCCATCCATAATCTTTCTCTTATATCTTTGCCTCTTTGCTTCAGAGGCAGGGTATGATCCCACAATGCTGGCCTCGCTTGGACAGCCTCTGCTAATTTTCCAACAAAGTTTTTGTCAGTTACTAATTCTGTTTGGGATTCATTTTCAATCTGTATGGATTGCGACGACAGAGACTCCTGAGTTTCTGCACAAGTGTGTTTTTCAAATTCTTTCAAAGTTAAGGTTTCCCCACATTCCCCGCACTCAACTTGGTACTAAAAATTTTGCTGATATGAAAATAAATAATTTACTTAAAAAAGTCGGCAAAAAATAAATTACCTATCCTATAAATACCTAGTATAATATTAATAATTGAATATTATAATACTATTAATTACTTACATCAAATTCAGACATCACAAATAACAAATAATCAACAGTCAACAGTAACCTAACCTAAAATGTTAATATTGTTAATCTGCAAACTGTCAAATTAAGGCCAAATTCGTCACGAATATCGGAAAATCTTGAAATGAGTTCAAGTTTCCCGCCCCCTAGATTTTAAATTTTACGAATTCTTAAAAACTTAAATAAGACACTTCTCAACTTTCTCCCCAATAAATCTGACCAATGGCGTTAAAGTTCGTGATTCGTATTTCGTGATTCGTTGCTATATGAACTTAGCTTAAGTATTCGGAGTTGAGTTTAAATAAAATGTCGCGTAAAACCTGGGAGTGAATTACAATGCCCTATATTTGGAGCTCATAAATGTATTGATGAAAATGTTTTGCCGAGATATGAAGATATGAACAGGTAGGGCTAGTTGGGGTAATGGTAAACAGAGGCAATTGTAAACAGGTCCAATAACTTTTGAATTTGGCGGGTATGGAATAAGTCGACTGGCTACAGTGGCCCCACATCTTTGATGTGGGGCTTTGATTATTGACTCGATTAAATGAGTCTCTAGTACTATTCGTTTATGGTGCAAAAACATTTTTTTGAGTATTTTTACTTATAGTCATGGTACAAGAATAGCTTATAGTGTACTCCTTTAAAGACTTTATTCATTGGCCACGTAATATTTGGTTTGAATTTAAATTAATTTGCCCTGTGGTGATTGCCAAATGTATTTGTTTTTTTGAGTAATGTTGACTATCGTTTTCATCACCCTGTATAATAGAATTTTGTTAAATTTGAAAAATATTAAATTTAATGAATAAATTTAAATAAATTATGTAAGATTTTTAAACTTTTAATAAACCATAACATGTAATTCTATTTATGCCAAGATTTTAATAAATTCGACCGAATTCGAAATTCGTGTGTGCCGGGTGGTTGAATATGGTTAAGAGACGGGAGCTACACTCGATGGTTTTGTTTCATATGATCATAATAAGTGGATCCCCTCCCTATCTAACCAATAAGATAATGTTTAGAGAGGATGTTCATACGTTGAATTTAAGATTTAGGGGACTTCTCTCTCCGCCACTATACAAGACCGCTTTGTTTACGCGATGTTTCTCTTACCAGGTTTTTAAACTTTATAACGGTGTTTTTAAACTTTATAACGGTTGTCTGAAAGTCTTACAAAAACATAGCTTTAAAAGTAAACTTAAAAATATGCTAATGACTCTTCCCTCTTAGAACATAATATACCTACTGAATTATATGTATTGAGTTTGTTTTGTTTTTTTTTCACATTTTGTTCCCGTTTACTTACTACTAAGGGCTGAATTGTTTTCTGTGGGCTTGGGTTGTATTGTTATGTATTATGTAGTTTTTGATTGCCAGTGTTAAAAAATTTAAGATGTCGTGTTATAAATGATTTAAATTTTGATAATTTAACAATTTAAAAAAAATGTCAATGTTTAAAAGTGTTTAAATATTTTATTGGGGCTGAACTAGATCAATTTTTATTGCTTTCAGCTTCCTTTTTGCAATTATGATTAAAATGGTATTATATACTTTTTTGTATTATCCTTATTTTTATTTATTTTATATATTTTTGTCATATTGTTGAATTGCAAATAAAGTTATGATTATTATTATTATTTAGTGTTGTATTAGTAAAATGCATGTTACAATTTGAGATTAACTTTTACGGAAAATGAAGTATAGAGGTGTTTACAAATGCCCCAGTAAAATAGGATTGCGTGGCAATTGTAAACTTGATTTTGAGGTAATAGTATATAAACACGTGTTAACATTGATAAGCTCCAACACAGATATGAAAAAGAGCAAAAAAAGAGAAACGTTAAAAATGTATTGGTTAGGTTTGTAGGAAGGAAGATTTATATATATATAAGTTTTGGTTTCTTAAAACTAAAATTACTTTTTAAAAAAATTTATTTTTACTGAACTACAAGTTAACAGTGTGAAGGCTCGAATCTGACTGCCTGAGAATAACGGTTGAGTTCCCAAGGAAGGAACTGCTGACGCTGACGCTTGGGATGACGGGGTCCGCTAGGTGGGCTGCTCCCATAATGTCTTTATAACAAAATGTTTTATTTTGACTCCATGGGGAAAATTGTAAACGATTAAACATATTGATAAACTCATAACCCAACTAAAAACAAACTTGTATAGTTCTTGGTTCATTATTACCCCATTTAAAAAGTATGTTTACATTTATCCCAAAATAGGACAATATTTGATTTTCCTGTGGGGTAAATGTAAACAAGTTTTTTTTGGAACCTATTGCAAATTTCTAGCTGTCCATCAAAGCACCTGTTAAATAAAGTGTCTTAAAATACATACATACAAACAGATACATGTGCCATCATCTCGTGGGGAGATTCCTCACATAAAAATAAGACTTATTTTTCATATCAACATAGGTCCGATTCTGCTTTGTTTCCCAGCTAGAGGGTGTTAAAGACTTAATAATTTTTCGATTTATTATAATTTTCTTCCACGTACTTTTATTGATTTGAATGAAATTTTGAGGGTAAACATTACTATAAGTGCTACATATTTTAATGCTAAAAAAGGGTCGATAAATTCATCAGGGACGTGCATATGGGTTATCACTGAAATATTTTTGAAAAAAAAAACATGTGCGCCACTGACTTTTTTTCTTTTGATATCAAAATTGTGTAGGACGTTTAATGCGAATTAAAAAATATCTCAAGTTCGCCTCCTTGATGAGATAAATGCAATTTTATTAATCACAATTAATAAAATTAAAATAAAAGTTAAATTAGTAAATTAATTATTTTACCTAATTTATTACGAAATATTATTACTATTAGTTATTATTACTGTTAGTCCAACATACAGCAATTTCAAATAATAAAATTATGCTATTTAAGATAATTACAAAAAGCCTAATTTTAAAAAGTTTTAACATCATGTAACTCTAAAACTATGCATTTCCATACCTATGTTTATAGGAACTTTTATACATGTATACATTTTGATGAGGAATCAATGAATACCTATTTAAAACTCTCTCAAGTTAATGATATTGTTTTTTTAAAGGTTGCTATTAGACTCGGATAAAGGCAAATTAATAAAAAAGCGTTATCTCATCAACAAGGCCGAAACCGACAAAATATCAAGAAACAACTTTTAATCGGCATTAAACAGCTTACAATATTTCGCTAACAAAAGAAAAAAAATGTCAGTGGCGTACATGCTTTTTTAGAAAAATATTCCAGTGATAACCCATATGCACGTCGCTGTCAATATAGCGACACTTTTTTGCCTTAAAATATGTCGCATTTATAGTAAGTTTTATCCTCAAAATTTCATTCGAAACGCTCAAAGTACTTGGAAGAAAAATATAATAAATCGAATAAATATTAATAGTTTAACACCCTGTAGTTAGGAAACAAAGCAGAATTGGACCTATGTCCAGAGATGGCACATTTGTGCGATCTTATTATTTCAGTATCATCAGTACTTATTTGTTAAAACAAAATATTTCAAAAATTGCATTATATCACAATACCACGAAATTTTACTTTTAAAATTTAATTTCTATTGTCAATATAAAAATATTTTTAGGATACACAACTAAGATAGTTATTTTTTTTATAAAAAGTATTTCAAGTTAGTACAATTTTCAATGTCTACACAACTTAAGACAATCTTATCACACAAAAAATCGTATTTTTTAAAATCAGAATTAATAAAAAAATAATATTTAAAAAATAGAACTACCATGTTCGGAATAATAAAAAAAATGGTATATGATATGGTACTTTTTCGAAGCAAGAACTCAGGGCCAACTACCAACATGGCCTCCCAAACTTGCCCGCAATAAACTCTTCCTCTACTGGTAAGTTAATACTTTAAATCAAGAATGTGTACACCTTTTAATTTTCTAAAAATATCAGTGTAAATAATTTTTCGTTGCACTGTTATTAGGTATTCTTTAAAAAAAAATAATATACAGGACGGAAAAATTCACCTAATTTAATTTGTAGTATTATTTTTATATTTACTTATTTTTCTTTTACAGAACTACCAACTGCCTGCTTATGCTCCCCCTAACTATGAGACTCAAACCTTCGTACCATCTCCGGCCCCTGTAAGTCATTACTTCATACTCTTTTTTTTGTATAAAACAATCAACTTTTGATTTCTAACCACAATTTTCTCTTGACGGAAGATAATCAAAGGTCAAAATGACATTTCTCAAATAGAACTACCATGTTCGCAATAATGAAAAATATGGTATATGATATGGTAATTTTTCGAAGCAAGAACTCATAATGTAGATTATTTTTTAATTTAAGAACTTTCATTAAACAAATACATTTTTTACAGTCGTACCCAGTACCCAGTTTTATGAATCCTGGACCATCCGTAATCCCAGGATAATGTGTGTCTCCTACTAGTTACTACTATGGCCCTTCAGGGCCAACTACCAACATGGCTTCCCTAACTTACCCGCAACAAACTCTGCCTCTACTGGTAAGTTGATACTTTGAATCAAGAATGTGTACACCTTTTAATTTTCTAAAAATATCAGTGTAAATAATTTTTCACTGCACTGTTATTAGGTATTCTATAAAAAAAATAATATACAGGACGGAAAAATTCACCTAATTTAATTTGTAGTATTATTTTTATATTTACTTAATTTTCTTTTACAGAACTACCAACTGCCTGCGTATGCTCCCCCTAACTATGAGACTCAAACCTTCGTACCACCTCCGGCCCCTGTAAGTCATTACTTCATACTTTTTTTTTTTGTATAAAACAATCAACTTTTGATTTCTAACCACAATTTTCTCTTGACGGAAGGTAATCAAAGGCCAAAATGACATTTCTCAAATAGAACTACCATGTTCGGAATAATGAAAAAAATGGTATATGATATGGTACTTTTTCGAAGCAAGAACTCATAATGTAGATTATTTTTTAATTTAAGAACTTTCATTAAACAAATACATTTTTTACAGTCGTACCCAGTACCCAGTTTTATGAATCCTGGACCATCCGTAATTCCAGGATAATGTGTGTCTCCTACTAGTTACTACTATGGCCCTTCAGGGCCAACTACCAACATGGCCTCCCAAACTTACCCGCAACAAACTCTGCCTCTACTGGTAAGTTGATACTTTGAATCAAGAATGTGTACACCTTTTAATTTTCTAAAAATATTAGTGTAAATAATTTTTCATTGCACTGTTATTAGGTATTCTATAAAAAAAATAATATACAGGACGGAAAAATTCATCTAATTTAATTTGTAGTATTATTTTTATATTTACTTATTTTTCTTTTACAGCACTACCAACTGCCTGCTTATGCTCCCCCTAATTATGAGACTCAAACCTTCGGACAACCTCCGGCCCCTGTAAGTCATTACTTCATACTCTTTTTTTTTGTTTAAAACAATCAACTTTTGATTTCTAACCACAATTTTCTCTTGACGGAAGATAATCAAAGGCCAAAATGACATTTCTCAAATAGAACTACCATGTTCGGAATAATGAAAAAAATGGTATATGATATGGTACTTTATAGAAGCAAGAACTCATAATGTAGATTATTTTTTAATTTAAGAACTTTCATTAAACAAATACATTTTTTACAGTCGTACCCAGTACCCAGTTTTATGATTCCTGGACCATCCGTAATCCCAGGATCATGTGTGTCTCCTACTAGTTATTACTATGGCCCTTCAGGGCCAACTACCAACATGGCCTCCCAGACTTACCCGCAACAAACTCTTCCTCTACTGGTAAGTTAATACTTTGAATCAAGAATGTGTACACCTTTTAATTTTCTAAAAATATCAGTGTAAATAATTTTTCATTGCACTGTTATTAGGTATTCTATAAAAAAAATAATATACAGGACGGAAAAATCCATCTAATTTAATTTGTGGTATTATTTTTATATTTACTTATTTTTCTTTTACAGAACTACCAACTGCCTGCTTATGCTCCCCCTAACTATGAGACTCAAACCTTCGTACCACCTCCGGCCCCTGTAAGTCATTACTTCATACTCTTTTTTTTGTATAAAACAATCAACTTTTGATTTCTAATCACAATTTTCTCTTGACGGAAGATAATCAAAGGTCAAAATGACATTTCTCAAATAGAACTACCATGTTCGCAATAATGAAAAAAAAATGGTATATGATATGGTACATTTTCGAAGCAAGAACTCATAATGTAGATTATTTTTTAATTTAAGAACTTTCATTAAACAAATACATTTTTTACAGTCGTACCCAGTACCCAGTTTTATGAATCCTGGACCATCCGTAATCCCAGGATAATGTGTGTCTCCTACTAGTTACTACTATGGCCCTTCAGGGCCAACTACCAACATGGCTTCCCAAACTTACCCGCAACAAACTCTGCCTCTACTGGTAAGTTGATATTTTGAATCAAGAATGTGTACACCTTTTAATTTTCTAAAAATATCAGTGTAAATAATTTTTCATTGCACTGTTATTAGGTATACTATAAAAAGAATGAAAATAATATACAGGACGGAAAAATTCACCTAATTTAATTTGTAGTATTATTTTTATATTTACTTATTTTTCTTTTACAGAACTACCAACTGCCTGCTTATGCTCCCCCTAATTATGAGACTCAAACCTTCGTACCACCTCCGGCCCCTGTAAGTAATTACTTCATACTCTTTTTTTTGTATAAAACAATCAACTTTTGATTTCTAACCACAATTTTCTCTTGACGGAAGATAATCAAAGGTCAAAATGACATTTCTCAAATAGAACTACCATGTTCGCAATAATGAAAAAAATGGTATATGATATGGTACTTTTTCGAAGCAAGAACTCATAATGTAGATTATTTTTTAATTTAAGAACTTTCATTAAACAAATACATTTTTTACAGTCGTACCCAGTACCCAGTTTTATGATTCCTGGACCATCTGTAATCCCAGGATCATGTGTGTTGTGACGACTTTTCTGTCGTTACCCAAATAGAATGAAAAAAGAATCCGTTGCTCAGGGTTAGAGGAAAGCTGGGTTCGTAGGTAAGGCTTCTGACTCACAGTGACTTTCTAATGTTGTTAAATATTAAAATAAAAAATGATAATATATAGGCTGCAGAGATTTTAATATTGATGTTAATAGGTATGGTCAAAGACAGTGAAAAGGGCGCCACTTACTTTGTTTATGAGAGTGGTAAAGTAAGAAACCAAAAAGAAAAATATGATATCACAACATAGCTAAAATAAAGTAATCAACAGCATTAAGGGTCTATTATGTTTATCAGGAATAAAAGTCAGAAATAACTATCCTACATTAAACATTTATTGAAAACGAACACAAGTATCAACAATTAGTCAGTGATCCCAATAAAACCGCAAGTTATTTTAATTAGATTCGAATTTAGTAACTGTATTCTTTGAACTAAATAAGCTACTTAATAAAAACAGGTGAAATTTATGTATGTCTCAATATGATGATGTTTCGAAACATGTCACGTACAAAAACCTTTAAAATGAATACGTGTTAATAATTTTCATATAAAATATCATATAGTAAGTAAGAGTGTACTGTACGAATCAAATTATAACTTATAACGTTAAATAAAAAATAATTTTGACTACAATATGTGGGATAAATAGTGATAATTTACCAGGTTATTAAATCTGTTGTCTCAAAATTATAAAATAAAAGCGTACCTTGTGTATCAAACTTAAGACTTATCTGTATATAGTTTCTTATGATGTAAACAGGTAGGTAGGTATTCTCCAGACTAACAGAAGTGGATGCAGATGACTATGGCAGGAGAAGTCTTCGATATCAGCCAAAAGAACGATTGTAATGTCAGGAACATTGTCTTAAGGTCTGCATAGGTCCATACAAAATGAAATGGGTGAAACATACAATAATTACTGCATACCATGTGGTAGTTACTGAGTACCATGTGGTAATTTTACTGAATACCATGGGGTATTTTTACTTAATATCATGTGGTACTTTTACTCTATAAATAAAAAAATAGTTCTCAGGACAGATACTCAATAAAAAAAAACAACTTACGGTCTGAAAATCAGCTTTACATAAATATATTCAAACCATATGCCGATCCAAACCAGTAATTAAATACTCAAATAAACGAAATAACAAACGGAAATAACTGAAATAGAATTTAGTTAGATAGGGCTATATAAAATGGCGGATAAACTTACGGTGGTCATTCCAAGAAGAAACCAAACAAATACGATCTATACTCTGAACTGAATTTAATTTACAAGGTTTTCAAATCTCCAAATCGGACACCCATGCAATGGAAATCGAAAAGTGGATTCAGAGTGCTTTTCACTGGAAAATTTGTCGGACGCCGAAACACGCGTCTTTTTCAGATCCAAATTCCCAGAAAAAAGACCTTCTTCTCCGTTTCAGAACCAAAGCCAAAAAATGAAGTTTGACATCTAGCGAATAGATGCGCTAATAAAAATTAAATATCGGAACAAGAGAAATGCAATTAAGGAAGTTTGGCATATAGCGAATAGATGGCGCTAATAAACAAGACAAGTAAACTGTAAGAAATGAAGTTTGGTATCTTTGGCATCTAGCAAATAGATGGCGCCAATACTAAGAAATTTAAATAAAAATAGATTTTTAAATTCAATTTTATTAAAGGAAAAAAAAATGCTACACTGCCCCCCTCCAAAAAAAAAGAAAGGCTCTCAAAGAGGACTTTCGCCCAAACAACACTAAGAAAAACTAAATTAAATTGGTACATGTTTTTAGATTTTTGAAATTAAATTTGGTGGATGATAACTTCGTGTATCACACGTCCATAAAGGAGTCACAATTGGTAAGTCGCAGTCGGTATGTCAAATCAGGGGAGGTTACACAATCGGGAAAGTCAAAATCACCACATAATCCAAAAAAAAACAAAATCATATACAAAATATATGATAAACTAAAACTAAACTTAAAACTAAAAAGGTATGGGATAGGAAAAGAAAAAAGAATCCCATGGAAGCGCAGATGTTTCTGAAGATTAACCGGTTAACCACTCAAGGTAACTCACCTGTATGAGAAAAAGAAGGAAAATTACAATAGAAAACACAATAGAAAGACACAAAGAAAGAGTGTCTGTTTCTCTCCTATATAAGCGGACGCCGGGGCATAAAATGGATAGAGATAAATAACCGATCGACGCGTGGAGTTACAATCGCCGCGCTAATTCAAAATAAATTTCTGTTAGATAAATAATTAGATAAATTGTGAATAAGTTATAAATAGTTCTCTAAGTCTTTTAATCGTTATTGTTTTTGTTAATTAGTGTTAAATAAATTGTGTTTAAATAAATTGTGACTTTCTATCCACACGGAACCGACGAAAAACGTAACAGTATTATTTTTATATTTACTTAATTTTCTTTTACAGAACTACCAACTGCCTGCTTATGCTCCCCCTAACTATGAGACTCAAACCTTCGTACCACCTCCGGCCCCTGTAAGTCATTACTTCATACTCTTTTTTTGTATAAAACAATCAACTTTTGATTTCTAACCACAATTTTCTCTTGACGGAACATAATCAAAGGCCAAAATGACATTTCTCAAATAGAACTACCATGTTCGCAATAATGAAAAAAATGGTATATGATATGGTAATTTTTCGAAGCAAGAACTCATAATGTAGATTATTTTTTAATTTAAGAACTTTCATTAAACAAATACAATTTTTACAGTCGTACCCAGTACCGAGTTTTATGATTCCTGGACCATCCGTAATCCCAGGATAATGTGTGTCTCCTACTAGTTACTACTATGGCCCTTCAGGGCCAACTACCAACATGGCTTCCCAAACTTACCCGCAACAAACTCTGCCTCTACTGGTAAGTTGATATTTTGAATCAAGAATGTGTACACCTTTTAATTTTCTAAAAATATCAGTGTAAATAATTTTTCATTGCACTGTTATTAGGTATTCTATAAAAAAAAATAATATACAGGACGGAAAAATTCATCTAATTTAATTTGTAGTATTATTTTTATATTTACTTATTTTTCTTTTACAGAACTACCAACTGCCTGCTTATGCTCCCCCTAATTATGAGACTCAAACCTTCGTACCACCTCCGGCCCCTGTAAGTAATTACTTCATACTCTTTTTTTTGTATAAAACAATCAACTTTTGATTTCTAACCACAATTTTCTCTTGACGGAAGATAATCAAAGGTCAAAATGACATTTCTCAAATAGAACTACCATGTTCGCAATAATGAAAAAAATGGTATATGATATGGTAATTTTTCGAAGCAAGAACTCATAATGTAGAATATTTTTTAATTTAAGAACTTTCATTAAACAAATACATTTTTTACAGTCGTACCCAGTACCCAGTTTTATGAATCCTGGACCATCCGTAATCCCAGGATAATGTGTGTCTCCTACTAGTTACTACTATGGCCCTTCAGGGCCAACTACCAACATGGCCTCCCAAACTTACCCGCAACAAACTCTTCCTCTACTGGTAAGTTAATACTTTGAATCAAGAATGTGTACACCTTTTAATTTTCTAAAAATATCAGTGTAAATAATTTTTCATTGCACTGTTATTAGGTAATCTATAAAAAAAATAATATACAGGACGGAAAAATTCATCTAATTTAATTTGTAGTATTATTTTTATATTTACTTACTTTTCTTTTACAGAACTACCAACTGCCTGCTTATGCTCCCCCTAACTATGAGACTCAAACCTTCGTACCACCTCCTGCCCCTGTAAGTCATTACTTCATACTCTTTTTTTTTGTATAAAACAATCAACTTTTGATTTCTAACCACAATTTTCTCTTGACGGAAGATAATCAAAGGTCAAAATGACATTTCTCAAATAGAACTACCATGTTCGCAATAATGAAAAAAATGGTATATGATATGGTACTTTATAGAAGCAAGAACTCATAATGTAGATTATTTTTTAATTTAAGAACTTTCATTAAACAAATACATTTTTTACAGTCGTACCCAGTACCCAGTTTTATGATTCCTGGACCATCCATAATCCCAGAATCATGTGTCTTCTACTAGTTACTACTATGGCCCTTCAGGGCCAACTACCAACATGGCCTCCCAAACTTACCCGCAACAAACTCCTCCTCTGCTGGTAAGTTAATACTTTGAATCAAGAATGTGTACAACTTTTGATTTTCTAAAAATATCAGTGTAAATAATTTTTCATTGCACTGTTATTAGATATTCTATAAAAAAAAATAATATACAGGACGGAAAAATTCACCTAATTTAATTTGTAGTATTGTTGCGGACCCGTGCCGTGTGAACTCAGCCTTAGGCCTGGCCATTCGCCTATGACTCATACGCCCAGCGATGCCGACGTTCTAAGAATGAATAAGAATTGACTAGACAAATCTGGATTGTCTGTTTCTCTCCTATATAAGCGGACGCCGGGGCATAAAATGGATAGAGATAAATAACCGATCGACGCGTGGAGTTACAATCGCCGCGCTAATTCAAAATAAATTTCTGTTAGATAAATAATTAGATAAATTGTGAATAAGTTATAAATAGTTCTCTAAGTCTTTTAATCGTTATTGTTTTTGTTAATTAGTGTTAAATAAATTGTGTTTAAATAAATTGTGACTTTCTATCCACACGGAACCGACGAAAAACGTAACAGTATTATTTTTATATTTACTTAATTTTCTTTTACAGAACTACCAACTGCCTGCTTATGCTCCCCCTAACTATGAGACTCAAACCTTCGTACCACCTCCGGCCCCTGTAAGTCATTACTTCATACTCTTTTTTTGTATAAAACAATCAACTTTTGATTTCTAACCACAATTTTCTCTTGACGGAAGATAATCAAAGGCCAAAATGACATTACTCAAATAGAATTACCATGTTCGCAATAATGAAAAAAATGGTATATGATATGGTACTTTTTCGAAGCAAGAACTCATAATGTAGATTATTTTTTAATTTAAGAACTTTCATTAAACAAATACATTTTTTACAGTCGTACCCAGTACCCAGTTTTATGATTCCTGGACCATCCGTAATCCCAGGATCATGTGTGTCTCCTACTAGTTACTACTATGGCCCTTGAGGGCCAACTACCAACATGGCCTCCCAAACTTACCCGCAACAAACTCTTCCTCTACTGGTAAGTTAATACTTTGAATCAAGAATGTGTACACCTTTTAATTTTCTAAAAATATCAGTGTAAATAATTTTTCATTGCACTGTTATTAGGTATTCTATAAAAAAAATAATATACACGACGGAAAAATTCACCTAATTTAATTTGTAGTATTATTTTTATATTTACTTAATCTGGATAAAACCGATTGTTTGGACCCTAGCAGTGTGCTTGGTACGGATGTAGAAGCAAAACTCGCTAACCACATAAAAAAAATTACAGAAGAGAGGCTTTGCACCGACTAGACAAGAAGTACGCGTTATGGCCTACAATTTAGCTGAAGCTCTTGAAATTCAACATAAATTTAATCGGGAAGATGGTAAATAAATATATGAACTCTTGATAGTAAAAGAATTTGTTACGAACGATTACTTGCATTTTTAGGTAAAGCTGGTAACGTTTGGTTGCTCCAATTTTTAAGACGTAATCCAGACATTACAGTTCGAAAAGCTGAAAACACCTGGAATGTCTAGAAATGTTGTAAACATTTTTCTGGACTGGCTGAAAAACCTCTTCTATCCCAGAAGACCACCTGGAAAGGTTTTACTAATAGTAGATGTACACACTTCACACACAACTAATCTTACTTACAACTAATCTTCAATACCTTACAATTCGCCGAGAACAACGACATTATTTTATTTTGTTTGCCGAGTCACACTACGCATTACCTGCAACCTCTTGATCGTGCCTTTTTCAAGAGCCTTAAGGGCCATTATTACGATTCATGCAGGAGGATGATCAAATGTAACCCTAATAGAAAGTTAAATCGTTTGCAATTCGGTAAACTTTTAGGCGAGGCCTGGGGCAAATCCGCTACAGTTAGCAATGCCGTATCGGCCTTTAAAGCGACAGGGATTTGGCCTTACAATCCAAATGAAATCCCGCTCACGCTTTTTTAACGCCGCCACCAAAAGAGGCTGCTTTGCAACATAGATGTTTCCAAACCCCGCCTCGAGAACGTGACTCACCTCAACCAGGCCCTTCCAGAAGGCAGGTAGAAAACATGGAAGATCCTACTGAAGACGTAACACCTGGGAAACTACTTCACGAACTTTCTCCTGTTCCCGTTATAACCCCAAAAATGCAAAGGGCTCGAACTAACCTAACGGGCAACTTGATGTCATCGGAGAACATGACTCGCATTCGCCAGAAAAAAGAGAGACAAAAACAAACACGCCAAAAAAAGTCGCAAACGAAAAAAAAGCCCCCCAAAAAGAAATCTACAGAAAAAGTGAAACGCAGGTTGGGGTCTACCTCTTCAGAATCTGACGAAGAGATAGTCCTAAATGATTCGTCCAGTGGAGATGAAACTTTTGATGACTTACAAAATCAGTGTGTGTCTCGAAGACTATCGCCTTACTAAGGAAAAAGAGGACTGGATACAGTGCATTCTATGTTCCAGATGGTTGAATGATGGTTGCACAGCCTATATTAACACAGGTCAACGCTGTGGTACCGCCCCCATCATAAAAAAAGGGAAAGAAAAACTAAATTAGCGTATGGTCCATCACTCCTATGTCGATTGGTCCATTTGTCCTATACTGTCTAGGAGAGATGGACCAATTTAAAATTTTAGTTTTGTATTTTTTATAATTATTTGTTATGCTACATTAATGTCTAAACTATGTCAAGGATATCACCAAAGTCTATGTTTATGTTGTACTCTTTTGCAAAGCTTGATTAATATAAATAAACGCCTCATTTACAGTTTTTCAAAAGGTGGTCCATCTCTCCTCGATTTACCCTAAAGCAAAACCGTCATGCTTGCAGGGAGCCTTTAATGTCTGGAAAATGATTAGTTTATCAAGGTATTTACCTGAAAGCTTGAAGAAAGTAATTGATCCTGTGATATTGCGAAATAGTTATTTCGCACATCCTGAAAATATCCTGCTTGGAATGCTAGGGGACACAAGACAACATATTCGAGAGCTTGCTGTCCGTCGAATTTTCAAAACTCGGAATTGTATTAAACAGCAACCACCGCGAAAATTTGATGTCCCACATTCGCTAAATATGAGCACTTCCAGTTATATGGACTTAATTGATTGGAGTACTAGTGTTATAACAGAACCCCCGTTAACAATGGAGTTACCAGAAGAAGTTTTAAATGATATGGTAAAAAATCCAGCTTCATCAAAGCTGTTTTCTGAAACAAAATCTTAACCATGTTACACGCAATCGGTCGAACGGGCTGTAAAAATTGTGACAGAAGTATCAGCTTCAGTTTGTGGTGGTGACAACAGAGATAGTGTAATAAAGGGAAAATTGGAATCACGTGGAATCGTGCCTTCTTTTGGATCCAAGCAAGATTATAAACTAGATTTAATTTGTTTAAAAGTTTTGTCATAATTTCTACCTATTTTTTAGGTTACCTTTGTAAAATAATAAGACGTTTTATTATGTTAGATATTAAAAATATTTTTACCTTGTATATTTTTAAGAATGATGTATTCATTTTATAGTAAATATTAACTTGATTTTACTTAAATAATATTTGTTTAATACTTCTATTTGAAAGGGAAAATATGTAAATAAAAATTTCAAAAATGTCTTTGTGGCAGTTCAAGTTACAAAAATAGGAAAAAAACTATTGAAGAAAATTTGTTTATTTTCAAGCAATTGAACATTTAATTACATGCAAATATGAAAATTTAATTTTTTAAAAATCAAAAATTTAAACTCATTGTGGCAGTTCTAACAATTAAAATTCCAAATTTTTTTATGAAATATTCTTCTTTTCTTATTTCACAACTTTTTTTAACATACAAACATTAGAACTAACAAATTTTTAAATCTTCACCTATAACGACGGCACACCCTATGTATATTGGTATAAAATTTCATTAATAAAAGGCTTGCCAGAAAACAGACCTTACAACATCTGGCTGAATTTGTTTTAGAAGTTCTAGTTTTACCTAATTCGAAAGCGGCTTGTGAAAGTGTATCTTCAAAGGTGAATTTAATCAAAACTGACATTCGGAATCGGCTTTGTACTGTCAAGACTGTAAATGATCACTTTTGTTATCAAAAAGCACAAATGGTGAATGTTATAGCTTAGAGATCAGTCAGACAGTGATAAATGCAATAAAATAAAAAAAATAATATACATATATATAAAAGTGACAATAAAGACAATATTGATGTTTTATTTGAAAAGTGACTTGTTAAAAATAGTAAGCTAGCGGTGTACTTTTATTTTCTGACAGTTACAGTAATGTTCGTGTAGTGTGCAGGTCGCAGCAAACAAAACATTTTTTTAAGATAAGCCATGCTAAATTTTATACTTTTGTCAAGTGTGATTATTGCATTAGTATGTTATTGTTATGTTGTTATTGTTATTTCTTATTATAACCCACTAAAACACAACTTTTTTACTTAAAAACAAGTTGGTTAACTCAGGTGTAAACAAATATTCAGCCGAATGGCGGGAAATTTAAATTTATCTTCTGCAACTGGGGCACAAAGGACCACTTATGATCCTCTGTGGCCCAAAGCAGTACGTTGTGGCTCAAATATAAATTTAAGTGTTTTAAAATTAACTCAATTAGGTGATTTGTGAGTTATATTGTATGTGTGTGTGTGTATAAGTGCTGAATAGACAACAATAGACTAGCATTTTTCCAAGTACAGATTCTATTTTTACACTCTGTCGCACGAGCTCTTCAAGCTAGTTAGTTTTAAAACAGATGTCAATTTTTTAGTTTTTTTAATATAATTAAATAAAACTTAAATGTAATTCATTCAAAAATAAAAGTAGTTTTTAAAGAAAAGGTGACTTTGACATTCAATAAGTTAATTGGCGCAGTCGGTAGGATTCCCAAATCGTATCGCATCGTGTCGTTCGAGTTCGTATCAACGATTTATTGGGAATCAGTGGTGAATCGAACTTTTCGGACAGTCGCTGGAGTGGCCCATTCAAAAATCGAACAACCCATTCGATCGTGAACTGGTGACGTGCCCCAAAGAACAATTCATCGGAGTGTGAAGCAAGCATCCCTCACCCTCGCACGCGGCTCTCTATACGTGTACCTCAGCACCACCACCACGACAGAAACAGACCGCGGCCGCGCGTTCCCGCATTATCTGTCCCTCCGACGACAACGAAACCCCAGGCAGCCCACCTCGAAGCGGCAAACACATTACAAAGCTTAGCCTCTCCCTTTCTTCATAGAACTGCAGGAGATACAGAAAGAAGATATCACTTAAGGTATTATAAAACATGTATGTGTGTTCATGACACTGATTCTAGAGGATACTGTGTAAAAAATGGATTACATTGTGCATTTGCTCATGGTAGTCATGATCATAGACCTCCCGTTTATGATATTAAAGAAATACAAGCCTTAGAAGCAGCAGAAGCTGATGGTAGTGGTACTTCAAATGGCCCTAATGCCCTAGACAAAGAAAGAAATTTAATGAACGAAGATCCCAAGTGGCAAGACACAAATTATGTTTTATCAAATTACAAAACAGAACCCTGCAAAAGACCTCCTAGATTGTGCAGACAAGGCTATGCATGTCCACAATATCACAATAGTAAAGATAAAAGGAGGAGTCCTTAGGAAATTTAAATATTAGGTAACGATAATGTCAATCTTCATAGTCTTCTTAAATTTAGTATTTTCTTCAATAATAGATCAACACCATGTCCAAATGTAAAACATGGTGAAGAATGGGGAGAACCAGGTAATTGTGATGCTGGAGATATGTGCTCGTATTGTCACACTAGAACAGAGCAACAGTTTCATCCAGAAATATACAAAAGTACTAAATGTAATGATGTGCAGCAATCGCGGG